GGGCCCGCTCCGTCTGGAGCCTGTTAGCGCTAATGGGGACTGACAGCGCGGCCGGGGCTGGGCAGGGGCGGGGGCGCGGCGCGGGCTCGGGGGGCGACTCGGGGACCCGGGCGCCCGCTCACTTGCCAGCACGCACCGGCGCGCCAGACGCAGCTCCCGGGGGCACCGGGCTCTGACTTCCCACCACGGGAAGAGAGCGAGACGCCCAGAACTGGGGTCAGAGTCGCGTCTGAGAGGGGGCCGGGAAAAGACCAGGGAGCGCAAATGACCCGAGTCAGGATCGGCGCTGTCATCCGCCGCAGGCCACTTAAACTACCCTGCGGAGCTTCTCCATCAACAAAGCGGGAATGCTCTGCTCGGTGCCTGCCTAGGTTGGCAAACTTGCTGGCGGGCGTTGGCTGGCTCGGAGTTGAAAGGTCACACCCCAGCCCTGACCTCCTCTGTTACACAGAGGGTGTGACTCCTGTTCCATGAGGCTGAGAACGTTATTCATTTATCCATGCGTTCATGTACCTCTTCCTCATCTGTTCCTACATATGCCTGCTATGTGACAGCCACCGTTCTAGGCTCTTGGGAGACATTCCTGCCCAACTTAACTCAAAAATCCCTGACAGGGTGGACTTTACATTCCGTCGGGCGGGGGAGAAAAGAAGCATAATAAATAGACACATTGTACGGTGTGTGGGAAGGTGATACGTACAAAGGGAAAAGTGAGCCTGGTAAGGGGTTGAGGGGTGGTGAGGGGGAGGGGGGATGCAGTTTGGTCAGGGAATTTGAGAAGGCAACATTTAAACAAGTGAAGGAGGGAGCCATTTGGCCCTGGTATTCACGCATTCTTTCACTTGTTTGTCTGCTGGTTAATTTCTTCAGTCATTAAATGATCACCTGCTGTGTGCCTGAACAGTGCTGGCTCCTGGAGCCAGGGAGATCGTTTCTGCCATCAAACAGCTAACAGTCCAGTGTGTAAAGAGTCCATCACAACCTAATGTAGTCAGGATTGGTGTAACTATAGGGGTATGGGAATTGGTTGGAGCCGAATCAGCAAGTAAAGGGTGGGGGCGGAGAGGTGACAACCCCTAAGGGGGATGGGAAGGAATTTTGGCAAACCCAGGCATGCTGACCTTTCTGTTCTTTAAACAGTCCAAGCTCAAACGCACCCCAGGACTTTGATACTTGCTGGTTCCTCTGCCTGAGTTGTTCAGATCTTAGTTCAGTGGTCCCTTCCTGACCACTCAAATCTAAAATACACCCCCACTCTCTATCACCTCACCCTATTTTATTCCCTTCATTACATCAGTATACAAATATATTTGTTTATTATATGTCTCCTCTTGGGTAGCATATGAGCTCCCTGAGGGCAGGGACCTTGACTGTCCTATATACCTCTGTGTTCCTAACACCTGGAACATATTAAGGCATCAATTAGTATGGAAACTGAATGCATTCATGGTGGTGCATGGGGGTGTTGAGAACATTTTTGCTAGAGGGACCAGCATGACAAGTATCTTCTGTGAAGGGTGCAGAGAGGAAGGGAAAAATCAGTGGATGGTGAGTCTGCCCTGGCCTTCTGGGGGCTGATGAGGAGAGGCAGAGGAAGGTCAGGGGGCAGGACTGAGCCAGAGTTTCAGGAGAGCCTAGAGTCACAGGTTCCCATCCATCAGGGTTGTCAATTTCCTTTGACCCCTGGGCTATCTTGACAAGCCTGTGAGGAAACAGGAATGAAATCATCTTTCCATTTTTCAGGTCAGGGAACTGTGGCTCTGAGGATTCAAGGGACCTGCCTGAGGTCTCACAGGTTGGAAATGACAAAGTTGAAATGAGATCCAGGTCTCCCGGCTCGCAGTCCCTGTTGCCTCCCCCAATTGGTGGATGGAGATATTCAGAATCTCTCTAGGGATCATACTTCCCTCCTCTGCTTTTACCCCATGCCCCACCCAGCTGGTCCCGAGTCTCCCACCTCTGCACACCCCAGGAAGCCCCAGGCTTCCCCCACCCACTGCAGCATCCCCATCCCCTCACTGCAACAGCCTCTCAGCTGACCGCCTCACGTCCAGTATCTTTCCAGCCGCATGATGTTCACCAGCTGCCAGAGCTCTTTCTAAAAGTCGAGTCTGATCACCTCACTCTTCTGTCTCCCCCCAGAGACAACGCACCAATGTGATTTCATTAACCCTGGATTTAAGGTAATTTTATTTGCTTCTTTATACTTCTCGTTATCTGCCAACTTGTCTACAATGAGCATTAGATACTTATGCAATCAGAAAAAGATAACGCACAATTTCTTAAAATCCTCTGATCTTTTTGAGATATTATCTAAACACCTTTAGCAGTACAGACAAGATTCTGCCTGTCTATTCAATCACATCTCTTGCTATTCTAATTCTCTCCTCATTCTCCCTACAAACCCTTTATTTGATCCAAAAATATACTTTATTCTCTAGCAACATAGGAGATACTCAATTACTAGTGGTATCCTGGATATCTTGTGCCTTTTTACACCTCTGGATTTTTAACTATGCTGTCCCCATCTTCTTATCTACCCGGAGAACTCCTATTCATCCTTCAAAACCTCAGATGTCACCTCCACTGTAAAGCTCCCTGACAACCACCACCTCCCAACCACCTCCTTCTTTATACTGCCTTGTCTGTTTGTCTAGTACAGTTATCTGTGTGATTTCCTTACTAGGGACAAGGACAGTGCCCAATATATCCTGCCACATAGCTCGTGCTCTAGATATGTGTACAAAACAGAACTAGAAGAGATCTCAATCATTGGCTGGGTTTGGTGTCTTTGGTTGGGGTTGTTTATGTTGGATTCCTCCAGAAGCAGAATCTGAAACAAAGATTTGAATTCAAGTCGTTTATTTAGGAGTCAATTCCTGGAAGCACTTATATAGGAGTAGGGACGGGAGGCAAGAAAGGGAAAGGAACCACCAGAAGGGACGTGAAGGAGCAGTTACAGCTGTGGGCAGCTGGTGTTCAGCCCTGCTGGGGACCTCTGGGAGACTGCATAGAGCCTGCCTCTGTTGTCCCACTCCTGGGCAAGGAAGTTGGAGTATTTATCCATTAAGTCTGTGCCCGGGGTGCCAACTTGCCAGCATTTTCAGCCTGCCTGGCTGTGTGGGCTGAGCATGTTCCAGTTGCCAGGAAAAGGCTTCTAGCTGCATCCCAGGTACTGACTGTAGGAAGCTGGGGGTGGGGTCTGCATCGGCAGGAACAGTGTGGGCGGGGCACCGGAAGTGTTTGCTACAGGGATGGAGGGAGGCATCCCCCCACTCCTGAACGCCAAGAGAGGGCCAATCAGCAAGCCCCGAGAGTTCCGCTTGGTGCTTTCAGAGACTTCTGGGGGACAGCAGTGGAAACACCAGGCTGGGGCTGGACTGAAGGGGAAGGCGTCTCTCTCCCTTTCTGGCCGGGACTCCCTGCCCCGCACTCCCAAGAGCCATGGGGCCATGTGGCTTCTCTCCATACCTTGCATTCTGCCCTTCCAGGTGGCCTGAGGGCAAGTGGGTGGGCAGACGGCGGGAGCATTATCGGAGCTAACTTGATCTCTGGGAAGGCGTCACTTCCACTTACCATGGCACTTGGTGACACAGGCCATGGGCACAAGGTGATGGCTGGTGCTGTCAGTCCAGCTCTGGACATCTCTAGGCTGACGCCAAGACCCTGACACACAAACGATACGCGCTGGAGGACATCTGGAGTCCAAAGGGCTGGGTACTGGAGGTGTCTTGAGGATATTACCAGAACCTGTGGAGAGGTTTGCCTGTAGATTTCTTCCCTCCCTCCCTCCCTCCCTCCCTCTCTCCTTCCTCTCTCCC